TTCTTTTCTTAAAAGAAGAAGTGCCATGAGTGTGTAAGTTCTGGAAAGCACTGTCATAGTTGCTCAAGAAAGAGAAAGAGATTGAAAAACAATATACGAAAAACTCATGCATATGTACCATCATTCCCGCCCAGCAAGTGTCTGGTAAATCTGAGAGAAAAGCTTTCACACTCCCACTGGGACCAAGTATGGAAGTAAAAAAAACCAAAGCAAAGAGCAAGCGTTTTTTTTCTTTCAAAACCTGAAGCTCGGGCTGTCTAGCTTGAAGGCAAGCTCTCTGGCTGCTGCCACCACATCGACATGGCCATAGTGAGGAGTTAACGATGAGATTTCACGCCTCGCTGTGTCAAACAAATGACCCAACCTGCGTAGAGTACCAAACTTGTAGGAAATGAGTACTACTTACATGAACAACCCCTAAAAATCAGTGTTGGCAAGGATGCATTCATGTCCCAGACCATCTATGAGAAGATCCTCTGGTGTTTCAATCCCACAAACAGCAACTACAACCAAACAACCAACTTGAGTTCCTTCAACTCAATCATGAAGTAGACTGTCTCTCAATTTCTCCGAGTGACCAAGTCAGCTTGCAGGGAGTCTTGTGATGGTACAAATATTAAACCTGGTGAATCAATCCTTTTAAGAGTGCCTTGGCTGGGAATTGAGTAGCATATGCATGGCCTTGCCACCAGTTTTCACCATCTATGCTCGGGTTACTACAAGCAAAAGCTTTGTTAGCTTCTTCTCAGAGATGAAAGAAAAACTCAAGCTACCTTCTGCAGTTCCAAAGAGAAAAAGGACAAACCACATGTCATACAAATGGTAGATAGCTTAAAAAAATAAAAAGTTAGAATTTATGCTAGGGTCCTCCCATGATAAATTTAAATGATGATATTAAAAAATTTAAAAACTTTCACAATAATCTTAATAAATTAAAATAATACAGCTTTTTAATTATTGATAATGTAGCTACTGAATAGTTATATTACTATTACAGTAATATTAATGATATGCTTTGGAAATTGGGAATAGAGCAGTAACAAAGCAAAATGGAATTTTGTCATGCATGATGACATTTTCACACTTTTATGACAATACAGGTTTCTATTTTATAATATAATAATAATAATAAAAAGATCAATTATATATATATATACATATATATATATATATATATATATATATTTAAAATAATGAAAAAAAACATTCTCGAGGATATCTCAAATATAAATATCTTTATAAGTCAGAATAATTTTAAAATAATTTTTAGTCTTCAAGATTAGCATTATCCACAACATCCATGTTATATATAATATAAATCCCAGCTGAAATTATGTTTTTCTTTTATAATTTACCTTGGAAATAGATTTTATATTTTATCTAGATAATAGTATTCTATAGTATTAATAAAGTGAAAAATTTCTTACAGCTAGAAGAAAGCAGTAGTTCTTGCAATATAGAATTTCTTTTTAACTATTCATGGATATCGTAGTATATTAGATTAAATTTATAATTTTTAGTTTTATGTTCTTTAATATCTAGGTTTTAAAAATATAATTTCTAATACAAGACAATCATGAAGTAGAGTTGATAAGATGTGAAAAAATCACTTTACTCATAAATGATAAGATTGATACAAAAAATTATATTTTCTGGAAATGAAAATACAAAACAATTAACATTATGTATATTTTTATATTCACAATATTAAAATATTTTCATAAACACAATATCATATATAAGGTATATTAATATTATTACGTACATGGTCATTTGCTAATCTATGTTTTTAATTAATAACTTAATAATATTATAATTTAATTATGTTTACAATCAATGTTCCACATGATCTCATTTTCTGAAAGTTTTCCATGCTTAAAAACAGCTATATAGAGAACTTTGAAAAATAATTTAATTTTCTCCTTACAATTAATAATAAAATTTAAAATTTAGTGGTTCTTGAAATATAGAATATATTTTAATTATTCATATATATATATATATATATATATATATATATATATATATATATATATATATATATAGTAGTATGTTAGATCTAATTTTATAAATTTTAGTTTTATGTTCTTTCAAATCTAGAGCTGAACAATCTTATTGATAATACAAGAGAATCATCAAGTAGAGTCAATAAAATGAAAATAATAACCCTTTAATTAAAAATGATAAGTTTGATAAAAAAAAAGTTTATTTTTTAGAAATGCAAATACAAAAGAAATTAACCTTATGTATATAATATATCTGTAATGATATTATATTACTATAAATATATTATCATAAAGAAAATATGTTAATACTATTATATACATCTATGTTTTTAAATAATAAGTTAATAATTTAAAAATGTAATTATGTTTATAATTGATGTTCAGTTTTCATATTATTTTAGACTTATATGACCTCATTGTTTGAAAGTTTTTCATGCTTGAAAACAGTTATATGAGAACTTTTATGAGCATTTTTATGTTTTTCATACACTTATTTATACACATTAAATATTTTTATACATTTATACATTTATATTTAATGTGAAAATTATGGTATGAGATGTTGTACTATTAGTGTAATGCACTGGTTGATGTGACCATAAAGAATTCATTAACTCTTATTTTCTTTAATGAAAATCTTTAATCCTGACAGGGATTCATGGATTTATATTGCAAATTTATTTTCTTTTATATGCATTAATTTAAAAAGTTAAAAAATATACCTTTTGCAATTACTCTTTTGAAGAGTTATTTATCATAATAAGGTTTTCTCTAAGACTTTTGGCATTTGAAAGATGAGGAAATAAAGGAAAAAGAAAACTAAATAGCTAGGTAAAACTGAAAGCAATGACATCTAATCATGATGAGTATATAATTGTTTATTAAAATTTCATTATATTATTTAGTGCCAGTATGCTTTATTTCGTTAAAGTGGGACTTATTCAGCAAAAGTGGGATATTAATTAGCATGTGTCCACATGCCATTTCCTAGTACTTAATTAATATTTATTAATATTTCTATCTGTTTTTTAATTTATTTTTTTATATTTCACAATATTATAACATAAAATCATATGAAAAGTTTTTAATTTATAAATTATATAGCTAAAACTTTAATTTTTTATTGTTGTTATAAAAATGGCATGTGGCCACACACCATAAGTGGGATAATGAAAAGTCCCACTTTAACGAAATAAAGCATCAGTAATTTATTATTCAGATTCACTAACTAATTGTAATGACACTTGAAGAATTAACAAACTTCAGCTCTACAATCTCAATTTCTTTGTATACATTAACTTCACTACTTTTTTGTGAGTTACTGTGATAAACTTTGGACATTCATTTTGATAGATAGCAATGGGTTTAAAGATCTCATCTTTAATACAATTTTCTGCTAAAAAGTTTAGATCTTACTATGAATATAATAATGTTATTTCATATATTTGTTCTTAACATTTCTTTCTGGATTTAATTACTGGTAGTGTTGTATAACTAATTGTAATCAACAGTCATATTAATTAACAAGAATTCCATCCGTGAAAAAACTCAATTAGCTTCTCAACAAATCTGAAGAATAATAAACCCACTATGGAGAAAATCTCTTTAAACTTTTTGCCATGATTATTCACATATTTCATTCTATAGTATTATAATCTATTTTTAATATTATTATTATAGATTAAGTCAAGTTCTATAAAAAATTTATATGATTTTCTTAAATATGCCCAATGCAGTTTCAAAATCAATAACACTTATAAAATATGTGCATAAAAACATAAATCAAATGATAATTTGAAAGGTGTGGATTTGGGACTTCTGAATATTTTGTATTACTTAGATTTTGCATTTTGTAGCTCCAAGGGATGTAGATAGTGCTAATAAAATGAAATTGCTAAATGGGTTTTTCCAGATGATAAATATAGGGTATATATGATACTATAGCAAATAGTAATTTTGAATGTTAAAATAATAATTAATCGTTAGATCTTACATTTTTTTAATAAAAAATATATAATGGAGTATTTGAGTAAAGAAAGAAAGTATAAGAGTGCTATTGTTTTGAAATATAAATTAGCATTTAATTTATAAAATAAATTATTTTAGTTTTTTAGAGAAATAATTAGTGCTAAAAAAACCCATTTTAGTGCTTAAAATACACAATGCTAAATTTATAAAAGAAATCATTATTAATGAATCATTTTTCAGAATCATAATTAGGTTTCATGTTTAGAGTTAACTAAAATGTTGTTCCTAAAATTCATATAAGTTATAGCTGTAAATATTATCTATAATGTTTTTTAACAATTGTTTATATATGTGTTGTCAATGATATGTTTTATTATAATTTTAACAAATGTCAATTGTTATTATAGTTTTCATTTAAATATTTTAATAATTTTATTATTTTGATTAAAATTTAAGTATCAATAATATAAGTTTTGATACAAGAAAATGAAGAACTATTGAGAATTATAATGCATTAGTAACACTTTACTGACAAATGATAATCTTAATACAGCAATTTTAATACTAAATTAAAAACTTAAATAAAAAATTTACATATTTATAGTATGTTTTAAAATGTTAAATAATATATCATATAAAAAAAATCTTAATATATATATAGTTATGTCTTAGATCCATTTTTATATTTGAAACGTTTATATTTTAATAATCTAAATTAATCAATAATAATGTTCCCTTTTATATAATTACTGAATAGTAAGTAGTCTTGAATAATTTAATAGATATGTATTTTGAAATTTTAATTTTCTAGATTTTTAGCTGTATATTATTTGAATTGTTTTGCTATAGACAATCTTATAGCAAATTATTAAAATTTTCAAAATGTTTTAATGCTTTTTGAATGCGTAAAATTAGAAAAGAAAATTTATTTTTCTTGGGTATGCTATATCTCCCAGCGGAGCTGGGATCTTTGCTAGTTGAAATACTATTAGAATAGCTAAATGATGTGCGAATATACTGCTTGGTATTAGGGCTTGGCTATGGTGTGAGAAGACGATGAGGCTATGCGTGGTTGGCGGCATTGGCCAGGTGAGTGTCCCGGGGCACTGCAATGTGGGAATCTGCTGCAAGGGATTCGCGAATGGCTGCTCGTTCCGGAGCATCTGCAATCGCTTGGAACAGCGCTAATCTACATCCAGGTAGATACCAAAGACAAGGAGGGAGAGATCTCCATTTCTTTTTTTCAAATTCATCCTTGAGCTTCTAGATTGGGTGCGCATTGCTCGGCTCGCTAAGCAAGCTCTACACTGGAGTTCCCGTGGCGGAATTGGCCATCGCCCTCTTCGCTCTCATAGCCATCGAGAGTGGAATCCAAGTTTTGCTTCGAATCTATCTCGTCCTCATGGGATGCAACCTTCTCCTCGACGTTTCTTGGTTCGTCCTCGTCGCCAATGAGCTCAGGTAGAAAAGTTTTTTCTCGCATTCCTCAGAGCTTTACGGCTTGTTTCATCAGGAACATTGCTCCTGGAAAGCTCTCGGCTATGGCGCTGTATATATTCCTGGGACTCCAAGCCACGAGCTCCATTGCCCGCGTGATCTCGGCATTCATCTGGTTTCCATTGATCCGGGAAGGCTTCTCGTCGTATGATGTTGCCTCGTATCAGCCAGTTAACTTCGATGCGCGCCTTGCCACCCTCGGCGAGGTCCCGGGATCGGAGCCCTTCTGGCCGGATGAGAGCCAAGCTTCGCAAAGCGAGACCCTGGCTGGATCCATCTATGATCCGGTTTACTTCTCGTCGTTGTTTGAGGATACCAAGGTGAGACTTTTCTTTGATCTTTAAGATTTCTGCTTTCTCTGTTTCCTAAAAAATATGTTCTTTGCGGGCAGGATGGCGAGCATCAGATTATTTTGCAGCGCTGAATGATCCATCTTGCAGAAAACAATATGCATTTTTTGTGTAAATTTACGAACATTACATTGTTGTAGCTCCCATAATTTTTTCATAATTTAAAAAAGTTATGTACATATTCGAAAATAAGTTGTTGCAATAATATTTCTCTGTTGTTTTAAAGAGAAATTAAACTAATATCCATAACCCAATGTACTGCTAGAATAGTTCCCTGCCACGGAAGAATGCAGGGTTTTAATTTACCACCTTTTCGTTATCGGCGTGAATGCCCGTGAGGAGAGCATACTGCCACGACCCATCGAGCCTCACGATCCTGTCGGTGATTCTCTTGGCCCTCTCCACATCCTTGTGCATCCTGCAAGCATTCAAAAGAATTGTCCACGCCACCGCATTGGGCTCAAACGGCATGCTCGCGATCAAGTCCGCGGCATTTTCGATCTCCCCGGATCGCCCAAACACGTCGATCACGCAAACGAAGTGGTCCGCAATGGGCTGCAGCTCGAAATCCGAGGCAATGGACTGGAAAAACTGCGGAGCGTTCCCGGAGAGTCCCGAGTGGCAGCAGGCGTGAAGAACGCTGATCAGCGTGATCTCCACGGGAAGAACACCGTCGAGGAGCATCGAGTAGAAAAGCTCCAGTGCACGATGGCCCTGTCCATTCTGGGCATTCGCGGCAATGATCGAGCTCCAAGTCACGACGTTGCGGTCGCGCATGGAATCAAACACGGCCTTGGCATCGCCCAGAGCGCCGCATCTGCCGTAGAGCTGGAGCAAGCAGCTCTGGATCGCGGGCTCCAACCTGGGCTCTACAAAGTAGATGGTGGCGGCAATGATCCGGCCGAGCGCTAGCGATGGGATCATCGCGCAGGCATCCAAAGCCGTGATGAAAGTGATACCGGTTGGGTGGATTCCTTCCAGATCCATCTGGCGGAACACTCGTAGAGCTTGAGTGGGATGCCCGTTCCGGGAATATGCTGCCATCATCGCCGTCCACGACACGGCATCTTTGTCAGGCATCTGAGCAAAGAGATCCTCAGAATCCTGCAGATGCCCTGCCTGGGCATATGCTGTAACCATGGCCGTCCACAAGAAGGCATCCTTCTCCGGGGCACCATCAAAGGCTTTCCTGGCCTCATCAAGTTGATCACACCTGGAGTAGAAATTCACGATTGCTGTCACGACCTTGAGATTTGCACCACAGCCGATTGCTGCAGCAGCATGGTGGATTCTCCTGCCCTCCTCAAGAGCTTTTAGCCGCGAACAGGCCTCCAATACGCTTATGAACGCAATGTGGTCGTGCCGCAAGCCTTCAAGGCAAGAGCTCCTGTACAGAGAAAGTGCCTCTTCAAAATGCCCGGATTGGGCATATGCTGTCATCAGAGTGTTCCATGCAACGGCATCTCGTACGGGCATTTCAGAAAACAGCTCCGCAGCCTCGTTCGTCCTGCCGTACTTACCGTACATGGCCAGCATGATATTCGAGGCCACTGTGTCTGGGTGAGGCAGGGAATCAAAGAGCGTCCTCGCCTCCTCCAGATGCCCTGCCTGGGAATATGCGGTGAGCATCAGATTCCAGGAGAAGCTGTTCTTGAGGGGCATGGAATCAAAAACGAGTCGCGCCTCGCCGGGACGGCGGCACCTGCCGTACATTTTGAGCAGGAGATTGTGCACGTACGGCTCGCCCGCCACCTTGCTGTGGGCGATGTGCCGGTGGATTGCCCTGCCCTGCTCGAGCGAGCGGCAGTCCTGCAGGAGCGAGATGTAGGCCGAGATATCTCCATTGGGAGAAATGTGGGCGAGGCGCTCATGGATTTGGAGGCTTTGCTGCTGCTCCTCGAGTGGGGAGAGCAGGAATCGATCGAGATGGCGCTGGCGCGGGGCAAGCGAGGAGCGCTGCTTGTCGAAGAGCTGCCTGCCTTGGCTCTGGCGGGTGGGGATGATTCCAGTGTTGGGATACAAGGCAGTCGTGTTGGATCGTTTGTGGAAACAGCAATGTACCATCGTCCGAAGAAAGAAGCGATGCCGCCATGAATCCAAATTCCAAACTGCCAGAATTTTATTTCACCTTTGCGATGCCTTCAGTTTTAGAAGATTCTCTGCTAGGGCAAGCGATCTCTTAATCGTCTTGTTTTCATGGAAAAGATCAACCCCTAGTAACTCTTCACTGAAAAACAGAAACACATCAAAGTCATCGGATGGCTTAAGTGTTGTTATAGTTGATTTTGATGGATTGGATGTTATTTAGTTCCCTTCAAATGGATTATAAACTGCTAAATACTTGAAGTAGAACGTTAGTAAGCACTCAATCTTTCCAAAAAAATTTTAGAAGCAAACTAAGTGGGGAGAGAGCCTTAGAAGGATCTGAAGAAAGAATTGTAGTATACACAGCATATGCTAGTGGGTTTTAAGTTACATTCTCCAAGAAGAAAAACTGCAAATCTTAACTTTATCTACAAAGCTTCAATTAAGGTGGAGAAGATCTTGGTGCTATCTAGAGACTGTGTTGGTTTCTGTGTTTGCTCAGACATAAATCTCTCTTTGTAATCGATTTCGTATGAAACAGCTTGTGGTCCTGGCACTTCCACTCGTGCCATAAGTTGAAGAGCTGCTTTCAGGTTCTCATTAACTTCATGATGTTTCCCTTCGACCAGCCATGGATGAGAAGTACTTATTCAATACGCAATTTGTGAACCGTAAGATATACCTATACAAACGTATAAAAAAGTATGCAACTTAATGGTTTCTACTCCAGACTGTAGAAGCTCCCTTTTTGCAGGGACCAATAGCTGGAGATGAAATTAAAAGAGAAGACGCTCACGAACAAGGTATATATCCAGTTTGGACACAATAACTATTAACTACCAGAAAAGAATCTGCAAAGTCACTGCTTAGCTCGCCTGCATGTCGCAGAAAGATGCGTCGTTCTCGAGCTTGTCCATTGCCTGGTGTTGCAGCGTGATGTAGAGATCCACGCTGCCTTTCTCTTTGCCCGGGAAGTAATACATTCGCCCATTCGCTGGAGCTTGCGCCATGGCCATCTCGCACGGGGTCCCCCACGAGAACTCGTGGAAGACCGGGAAATAGAACGAGCTCCCAATGTACAAGTCCCTGTCCGGCCTCATATCAAGCACCGCCTTGTCGCTCGACTCTCCACCCGCGTAGTGCTCGAGAAACCCCGCCGACACGCCCCAGCTCTCCTCGCTAAACTCCCTGATCGTCTTCTTGATGAGCGAGGAGATCATTCCCAGCGATTCCATCTCGCCACACTTCGCCGACGCCATCGCCCATGCAGCGGGAGTGCCGAGATACTCTTTCGGGAGGTGCGGGAATCGCCCTCGGCAATTCACCGCGAAGAACAGCTTGGTGGTGTCTTTGTCGCCCAAGCCGCGAGCTAAGCAAACTTTCCACCAGATGTGCGATGATAGGAGCTGGAATGTGGAGTACTCGGGGTTTCTCTGATTGAGAGCCTGGATCTTCAGCTTCCCGAATCGGAACCTCCGAGTTCTCGGGAAGGACTTGTAGCCGAAAAGCCCCGGATCCGGCGCATTTCGATCGAGTAGAGTGAGCATTCCTCCGCTGGGAACTGGTGGAGGAGGAGCATCGCTAGGTGGGATTCCAATCGGGAATAGAACCACATAAGGAGGCTGGGAGATTGGTTTTCCACAAGAGATCTCCGCCCAGGATTGAATAAAGTGCCAGAAACTTGTACCATCCATGAGCTCGTGGCTGTACTTCATCGCCACGCAGACGCCTCCGCACGAAAACTCGGTCACCTTGAAAGTATAACATTGTCTTTCAATACAGTTTGTCAGATCTTGTGTACCTGGATGAAAAGGAGTGGAGCATCTTCCGGCCACGGCCACTTGAGATCCTTCTCGTGCCCAGGAGCTTGAGACAGCTCCAGCAGGAACTCGGGGTCCAGATCAAACTTGTCGCCTTCGGGAAGTGGGCGATCGCACGACGCCTCGCTGAACATGACGCCGTGATTGTTGCATTCGAGCTGCATTCGCATGTCCTTGCGGACGGAGATCCTGCCAGCGACAGGGTAGAACTCGGACAGCGCCGCCGCCAAAGACTGTTTCATGTGGGTGATGATCTTCGAAAACGGTTGCGAAGGCGGCCTGAAGAAGAGGAGGCGGTTCCGGTATGGAAACTCCTGGTACATGTGGCTGAAGATGCACAGCAGCGTTTTGGTGTTGTTGCCGAAACCGAATCCATTGAGGACTGTTGACGCTGGGCGGACGAGTGTGGATCTCTCGACGAAAACCATATCTGAACGGATAAGAAGATTGGACGAATGCAAAGCTACAGCTACGGGGTTTCTCTTATCCAGTTTTTTATATCACCACCTGGATCATGCGATGCGCTGATGGAGCGATGGGAGGTATAGACCGTCCTGGAACTGCTGGCAGGCCAAAGTAGTGTTTTCTAGCATTAAAGCAACTGAAGATATCTCAAAGCCGTTCGTGAAGCCATTACGTCATAATAAACTCCTCCAGAAGCTTTGGATTGCTACGGCTGGGGAAAATTTTGGATCATGAAACTTTCTCAAACCATGTTTCACAGCTGCCCAATTGCATGCACAAGGGTGATAAAGTTAAAATTACGTTAAACTTATGTGATGTAATTTTTAACCATTGTACCATGCTCCTGGGTCTTCATCGGGAAGAATCCACTCTTTCTTCATCACAGCGTCTTCAAAGACGCCCTAATTAGATTCCATTATGAAATATTTGAACATTTGGTTGCAAAGTTTAAAAAGTTTGAGGGTTTAAGGTTTACGTTACTCCTCATCATAGTCCTGCTCATAAAGCTCGCCTGCGGCCACATCTATCTCTGTGATGTCAAGCTCGCACTCTGGCTCGATCCTGTGAAACACCTCAATGAGTATCAAACAAGAATCGTCACTTGGCTTACGTGACAGACGAGGACGAGGAATTGTCAGCAGAACGCCTGCGCTGGACATGCTCTTCTGGCAAATCCTTCTCCAGGCTCTAGCAACGACCGTCAAGACAATCGCAAAAAAAATAAAGTTCAAACCTTACCAGTGTCAATTTGAAATTGTCATCCATGTTTCGCAAGGTATCGCTCAGCGTTTCGATGTTCTTCCAGTCGTCCTCAAGTACCGAGAACTCCAGCTTGTACTGACAAAGGCTGGGGATGTTGATCACCTCAGGATACTCGCCTTTCACTTCACGAGTTTTCCTCCACCTTTGAGTCCGGAATCCTGAAAAGATCGCGTCCGACACCACAAAGTAAAGACCTGCAATCCGGATCGCCTTGCTGCTCAGAAACTCCATAAGTAACTTCACAGGATGCCATACGACCACATGCTTCTTAGAGACAGTGGCTTGGAGAAGATACGCCTGTTTCCGTTTGCAGTCGATGTAGATGCTATCTATGGCCGCCTCAGACCTAGTACGCGGCCAGAAGTAAGCCGCTGCACACTTATCCCCGATGCACTTTTCGATCTTGGCTTGCAGGTCTTCATAGTTCACATAAAAGACAACCTTGAAGTCCTCGGCTTCATCCACATTCATCCTGGCAGGAGCAGCAGTTGAATGTCGATGCGTTTTGCTGCAGATCCGCTCGCACTTTCCCAGGAACCTTGGGAAGGTAATGTGCATAAGCAGCTCTAGGACGGTGGCCCGGAAACAAGTAAGGCCACCTACACCTTGCAAATTGGTGTATTTGTCAATCATCTCCAGCCACTTTTCTTTATCCAGGCGTAGCAACAACTGTTCTTTCACATAGTCCGAAGCAATCTTTGTGTAACCTTCCGACGAATCGTTTCCCCTGTCCAAGTGAAGCACTACGTCATGGGAGAAAGATTGCTCCAGGTCGTGGTCGCGTATCGAAGAAAAAACCGAAAGCAGATCTGATGTCTGAGCTAGCTTGCTCTTCAGGGTCCGCACCACGGTTTTGAACTTCTCCGCAGTCTGGAAGACGAGCCTGGGAATGGGGCCGGCCATATATACATGCCGCGCGACTGTCTGCCATGGTATCCGGGAATACGAACGCTCCCGACATGCTTTCAGCTCCTCTTCAGTCCATAAGCGACCATAAAAAGCGTCGTAGCCCCCAGAAGCCTTGGCGAACTCCTTGTAAACACTAGCCTTGGGACTTGTTACTAGCACGGTTCGGGCCTCGACGCCGCCTGAATCCGAAACCTCACTGCCATCATGTATATAGAACGTGTCTGGATCCTCTAAGTACCGCGCCACCGCGTCGAACTTAAGAAGCGAGTGGAACTGTCCCCCCTTGAAAAGGTGGTAAACTCCCTGGGACACCGTATGCGAGTAGTACACCACTGGGTTAGCGCTGTGCTGCTTGAGCAAGAGGAACAAGAGCTGGATGGCCGTCAGGGATTTTCCGGTTCCTGGGTGGCCGATGTACACCCTCCGGGTGTCTTCACCGTCGGCAATGTCAGTCAGCAGGGCATCGTACAAGTCTACCAAGTCCTGCCGGACGTACATGAGCAAACTCTCGGGCACGTCCCTGATACTTCCGCCGAGCTTGATTTGGAAGAAGGATCCGACGAGAGTGTCCTTAACTGGATCGAGAGCGCGATGTGTTCCACCTTCAAAGGACACAAACATGGAATCATGGAAGCGTTGGAAGCGACCTACGGAGTCAGGCATTGCAAAACCCTAGGCCCGCTGCCAAGGATATTCCACCAGTTGATAATGTACCAATAAATCTTGATAATAAGAATCAATTAATTATATTAAACAGATATAGAGTTAATAGTTATACTAAACAATTCCTAGTATATTAGGCTTATTTTTATTTGCTTAAAACATTCTAGGAATACTCTGACTGGCTTGGTCAATATAATTCCACATGGCGGCCAGGACAGGCGGCCCAACCCTCTCACGTTTCTAAATTGCGGGTCTAAAATGTACCAAGACACCTCTCCATTATATAAAGGAACTTCAAAGAGACCTCGACCTAACAGAGGAGAACAAACACGTAAGTGATCGCAATTCCTAGAAACTTTATAGCAATTCTTCCCATCTAGCTAGAACGCCATGGCTTATCCCAAGGACAAGATCGCTTTCTTGTACATTCACAGGGAGAGCGGCGAGATCGCCTTCATCTCCCAGTCCGCGTCGCGCCGTGTCCCAGTCGCCCAGAAGGGCGATTTCACCTTCCAGTCCGTGGTTGCGAGCAAGGCACAAGATCTCGAGGCAGCCAAGCAAGCCTCGCGCACCATCGCTCCAGCGATCAACAAGTACACCATCACTCTGCTCGGAGCTGACCAATCCAGCACCTGGGCAGCCACGATCTACGAGAGATTCCTCGGCAATGGCTTCGAGGGCGTGGTGTTCGTCGATCCAGGTACGCTGGAGCGCGAGATCGACTACCTCGCCCCTCTCTTGCTGGACAACAGCGCCATGACGAGATCTTGCCTCCTGGACACCTCCACTGCCGATCAAGAGGTGGACGAGATCACCGCTCGCGCGCTGGAGATCATCGAGAAGAACTTCATCCACTTTGCCAGCAACGATCAGTGGTTTACCAGCGGAGGCAAGCAGAGATTCGGCGAGAGAGTGAGATACCACGTCGCGAGAAACGTTCCTCTCGAGTTCATCCTGCCGGCGTTTCCAGTGAAGTCGTGCAATCCAGACAAGACGCTGGGGAAGTTCCCGGACAAGGCCGAGGAGCTCGCCATTCGCTCCATGAAGATCATCGCGGATCTCGTCAAGGAGGTCTATCCTCCGGGCGTGCACTACAACATCGTCTCGGATGGCCACGTCTTCTCGGATCTGGGTAAGTTCCTGGAGCTGGATTGCTTCGATCCATCGTCTTACGCGATTTCTTCCAGTTGGAGCCGATGATGCTACTGTGGATAGCTACGGAAGGATGTTTCGCGAGATGGCGCATGATCTACATCCCGGATTGATCAACTTCTTTCGCCTGGATGATTTCCTCCTGGACAACCAAGACGAGGATAGCATCGCAGCGCTGATCTCCAACACGGTCTTGGAGCACCCGATCGAGACGAAGCTCACTTCCAGCGCAGAGACCGCGAGACGAGCGCTACTGTGCTTGTTTGGCAACGACGAATCCTCCGTGCGCAAGGACATCCAAGAGAGCGTGGAGACGCGCAACTTACACCATGGCTTCTCCAGATTCATGCTCGAGGATCTCCAAGAACACAAGAGCTGCAAGGGTCTCCCCTCGCTCGCCGCAAAGGAGGAGCTTTGCAGCAAGGTGGGCTTCCTCATGCTCTTGCGCAACCGCGCCTACTCGGCCATGGTGGAGTGGCTCTTCCCTCTCGCGCTGCGCGTCTCGATCCACCCGCATCCCAATCGCGGCCCCAAGTATGGGATCAATGTGATCCATACCTCGCTGCTCGCCGCGCAGCGCTCGTCCGAGGAGAAGAACTTCCACATCCCCACGCCGTGGCACAACGCGGTGGTGGAGCTCGCGGATGGGAAGTTCATGCTGCTCCACTCCAAAGTCATTCGATCTGGGGAGCTATCGGGGAAGCTGGCTTGCGAGGAGCTGGGATCGAACGAGCAGCTGCTGCTCAAGCGCGATGGCTACACGATAGAGCTTGTGAGATTCCCAGATGGTCGACCCAGCCACTACAAGCAGATCAAAGCCTGCTAAGTTCCTCGCAAACTTACAATGATCGTTGTTACTTCCAAATGAAAGAAGCAAAGATTTCCATTTACGTCGCGAGAAGCACGACAAGCAGATCAAAGCCTGCTAAGTTCCTCGCAAACTTTCCAAATGAAGGAAACAAAGATCCCTGAGAAGATTTTGAAGCACGGATCAGTCCGACTCGTCCGAATCGCTCCACTCGAACTCCGACGAGCCGGAGGAGGAGGGGTACAAGTTCTCGTAGTACTCGAAGAACATGTCGTCCTCCTGGACTGCGAAAGGCTCCTTTTTTTTCTTCTTTGACTTGGACTTGCCTGGTTCGGTCTGCTTGGTGGCCCAGCTCGCGGCGGCTTGCTCGGCCATGGCCAGGGCTTTGCCCGTCACCACCTCCTCCCACGAGAAGTAGAGGTTGGCTTTCTCTTTTATCTTCTGCCTCGCGCCGATGCCGATGAGGACCGTGTGGACGTTCTGCCGCCGCGCGAACTCCATTGCGCCGGTGTAGTTTACGTTGTCGCAGACGAGGCAGATGCAGCTGATCCCGAGGTTGGCTACCTGATAAAAAGTTCCAAGATGGTTAGAGAAGAGAAAGACGAATGAGAAGTACAACATTGTGTGCTAAGCGAGAAGCTCAAAGCAAAGAAGAGGAAAGAAATATGCAAAGAGTCTCATGCTTCTTGGGGGGACGCTGCGAGACCTTGTAAACAGTATATGAATGAATGAATGAATGAAATGAAAAGTTATGCAAGCAAAGAAGAGAGACAGTATAGAATGAGAAAGAGTTGATTGGACCAAAGCTCAAAGAAGGAAAAAGTTGAAGTCATCAAAGCTCCACGCAAAGACAAGTAAAAAGATAAGTTACTGGATCAAAGCTCTGAGAGGAACAAAGATTTGGAGGTGGAAGAAAAGAAGTTGATTGGATCAAAGCGCAAAGAAGGAAAAAGTTGAAGCCATCAAAGCTCTATGTAATAAAAAACAAGAAAAAAAACAAATTCAGAGTTACTGGACCTAAGCTTTGAGAGGAACAAAGATGGAAGAAAAGAAGTTGGAGCAAACGAAACCAAGAAAAAAAGAATTTTTTGATGTGGAACTGGCAGAATGGAACTGGCAGAAAAGAAGAAGAAACGATGAAGAGAAACATTTCAAGAATAACAGTACCTGTAGGATGTGAGACCAAACAGCCATGTCCGGTGCCTTGGCGGGCTTATCAGGCATCTGCTTCACAAAGTACCCGGCCTTGATGAGCGCCAGCGGCAATCCATCCGGCAAGAGCACCCGAGGCGTCAACACAGCTCTAGCAGCGCGCTGATATTTGGTCTCCTGGTGAAGCAAGATCTTCCTCCACGACTTCTTCTCCTCCCCGGACGCCAGATGCATCCGATAGATCATCTTGGTCCTGGCCCTCTCGTGCTTGAGCCGGAAGTGCTTCACCAGATTCGCCCAGTGCGGCGCTCGAGCTTCACCATCGCCGCAAAGCGGGCACGAGAGATTCCTCTCCACCACCTCTCCGTCCACCACCTCGAAGTCTCTCACCTTGTTATACTCGCGCGTGAAGAGCGGGAGGAAGCACAGCATCCGGCGGCTCGCGTACGCTGTCCTCTCCACCACGCTCCCAAACACACCGGCGATCTCGACCACCCTCTTCGCAGCGGTGTAGGGATCCATCCCCTCGGGCTTGTTGTGGAGATCCCAGATGAGCGACACGGATTGCTGGCCATCGCCGATCCAGCGCACGTCGTCGATGCTGCAATCGAAGCCGTGGTGCTGGAATCCCACCCCGGAGATCCGCTTGGCGGCGAGGTACTCGGCGCGGCACTCATCGTCATGGCCGCGAAGCCGCCGCTCGTGAAGCGCATCCCGGCGAGGAGAGTTGCGGATGATCTCGGGATTGCGAATGGCGGCCACTGGGACTTGTGTGGGAGGGAGGCCACCGCAGGCCAGGCGGACATCGCACCACTGCGCACGGAACCACTTGGAAATCCCCCTGCGCTGGACGTAACTCGCCCCAAGAACCCTAAATCCCCGCATTCTCCATAACCTAGCCAAGAACCCTAAAACCCAAATTTTAAATTTCCCGCGCTAGCGCTGAGTCAGGTGACACCGTATGAGTGCGCTCCACGTGTCGCTTTCCCACGCCGCCACATAACAGTGACTTTCTCGGTGATTATAGGGTTCATGGAGGCGGACCAGGGCGAGCGCTTCCTCCAGCGAGCTCTTTGTGTTGTCTTTGTGAGCGTGGTGCCGATCGGTGAGTAGGAGATCCTAGATTGCAAGCGCTATGTCGTCGCGGCTGTGGGAGCTGGGCAAGAAAGCCAGCATTGGGGGGCTTGTTGTGATCTCGCTCCCGGTTCTTGTTCCATCCGCGGTCGTTCTTGCGTTTGCTGGCGCTCTCCTCGCGGTGCCTGTTGGATCGGCCGCTGTGGGGTTTCTTCTCCTCAAGAAGATCCTCCAGGCTCCCAAACACTACCTCGAGTGGTCGCCTGGGAGCTCCGAGGAATGCCAGGGGTCTGTCCGGGATGATGGGGAGGCCGAGAAAGAGGATCAAGTTGGGGCTTCTTCGTCGGCTTGCTCGGAGAACCTAGAAGCCGGATCGAAGAAAGAAGATCGCCCAGAGCCAGCTGTTGGAGAGATTTCTTGCGAGGAGGCTCCAGAGGATCACGGCGAGCCGGGGAAATCCTCCGAGGACTACATTGTGGTGGAGAAGCCTCCCTCGGAGCCAAAGACTTCGGTGGAGCTCGAGGAAAAAGAGGAGGACGATGAAGATGGCAGCAAGATCGAAAAGGCCGAATCGCAGTGCAAAGGATCTCCGGATTTTTATCAGTGCGTGGAAGTTGAGCTCGCGGACGATGACGATGGTGGCGCTACTGGAGCTAAAGCTCATGACCACGATGGCGAGCAAGACAAAGAGAGTGGCGTCAAGGTTGATGCTGATAAAGACAAGGAGGGCAGTGGCAGTAAGGATCAGGGAGTGGGATCGAGCGTTATCCCGGAAGATACAAACAAAAGATCCAGTCCAGAAAATCCCGAGGAAGAATCTGGTGGAGCCAAGAAAAAGATCGCGGCTGCTCCTGACAGTACCAAGGAAGTCCATGCCGCTTCAGTGGAAAACGGTGGCTCCAGCGTCGAGGGACAGGATCACAGCAAGGAGGAGCCGAGATCTTCCGTGGACGAGTACGCTTCCATGACCGAGGATTTTCCAGAGGAGCCCAACGCAGTGAGCTCGGACGAATCCGTCACCTCGGCACGAAACGCTGCCGCTGCCGCCGCCGCCGCCAAGCCCGAGGTGAGAGCTTTCTTTTACTTGTTTGGAGCTTTAAGTTTCTTCTTAAGTGATGGTGTTCAAGGTGAAAACTTCCAGCAGGTCCCGGAAAAGGAAAAGCGCGCTCGCCTTCGCAAGGAGATTGTTGCGCTTAAAAAGTTGATCGGCTACCGGGACGCCGCTGGTGGATCCTTGGGCGTTCAAGTGGAGCGGCTCTACGGCTTCATGGGCGTGGAGCTTCCATCCGGGTGTAGCAGCGGCAGTGACTATGGCAAGCTCTTGGAAGCTATGAGCGCTCTCAAGGCGGTGGTGGGAGTCAAGTAAGTATTAAGTATAAACAAAGGTGAGAGCTTTCCAAGAGCTTAGAGCTTCTCTTTTTTGGTTTTTTTCCTTCGGGCATATAAGCTAGTTTCTTTCTCTCTGTTGAGAACTTTCTCTCTTTTGTCTATGGAATGGTGGAAGACTTTGTTGGGCTTATCAGATCTTGCAAGAGCTTGTCCCAGGTGAGAGACGTCCACTCAAAGATCGCGAGTCACCACC